TGGATCGGCGTTAACGAACGTTTCGTCGAAATCACGGAGAGGTAAGAGAAAATATTCAAAGGAGAATAACAGTAGCAGTAGCGGATCCGTTAATAGTAACGGTAACAGCAGACGACAGAGAAACGAAGAGACGAAGAACGGATCTGGTGTCGGTGGAGAGATCGTGACGTTGCCTCTTCTCCCGGAGACTCCTGAGAAGAAAGAGTCGCCGTTGAAGGCTGTGGCGGTGCCGGAGCTAGGTGCGGCGTCGTTGTGGCTTAACTCTAACAGACGTTATCAGACGGAGTTAATGACGGAAACGGTTGTGTCGTCGGTGTTGACGGTGGAGTGTGTAACGGAGAGATTGATGGAGGGAGAGTATGAGTTAGGGTGTACGGACGATGAGATTAAGATGAATTTAGAGAGAGACACGTGTCCCGGTTTTATATCGGACGGTTTAGGGAGAGTCATTTGGACGAACCGGTCGTACCGGGAATTGGTGGTTGGGAAAGATCATGAGCAGTGTGGTAAGATGAGTGTGTGGTTAGTGATGAAGGAGATGCCTTTGGTAACGTACCGGACTTTTACGTGTAGAATGAGATTGCAGTACACGTGTCGTGATAAGGAGGTGAGTTCGATTACTTCGTTCTGTGATGTTTGGAGGATGAGTGACGGTGGCTTTGCTTGGCGGCTTGATGTTGATGCTGCTCTTTGTCTCGGACGGTGAGGTTTTGGGCCGGTGGATTAGAGATGATGTTAGATTGATGACATGATGATATTTAATAGCGACAGCAAGTTAGAGATCTTTGGACTTACAACTTTATGAGTGTGCATACATATTTCGCAATTTTGTAGCTTTTAACATTTTGATTTTATGTTCTGTTTTAATTTGTAGTGTTTGGTGTATTACCCTTTTTCTTTTTTTGGGTTTTGTATGAAATCTTGGTTAGTCCACTTGGGTATCTTTCTTTTTTATTGTCTCGTACTTTGTGGGCTTATGGAATTAGTACTTAGGTGAGGAGTCTTATGTTTTAATCACACAATTAATGCATGTATTAAGAGTTTGGCCAACTCTTATGAAAGTGAACCTTCAAATAATTCAGGAAAACTTGTTAAATAAATTTGGTGAAGTAAAAAATTAGACTACTTATTAATTACTAATAACGGAAAGTTTCATTAGAACGTCTTGAAACTAAGTTCCAATAATATTTTTAAACTTCTGAAAGATAGTTCGTAGGATCATAAGTTGAGTGAGATTCCACACCTAAGACAATCGATATGCATCCTTTTATTCAACCTAAATGGGCTTTGGCCATTGGGCCTGTCGCTGAAACACAGTTACAAAAAGGGCCGGCTCAAATCGGAAAATCCGCCGGTAAAGAGTTCTGATAAATGGGCGGTACATCATAAGTTGAAACATAAAAAAAGGCCGGGCCAAATCGATATGAATCTTACATTTGGAAAAACTTTGCATAAATGAGACTACGTTCTACGCAGAGCCGGCGCTATAATTTTTGGGGCTACAAGCCCACATATTTTTTTGGGCCTCTAAAAATTTTTTTTGAAAAAAAAATAATAAATGAGATAAAAGGAAGGAAGTGTGAGTCGAACCCGTGATGCTAGGGTTTAAATGGGATTAAATCTCTCAGCTATTACCACCTGAACTAATAAAGTTTTCGTAAATTGGGGCCGAGTTACAACTATATATTCTGAAAGCCACAAGCAGATGCTTCACATGCTTGTGGCTAGGGCCGGCTCTGGTTCTACGACTAGTTAAAACTTAGAACTGCCCTATAGACTATAGTAATTCAACTATTATTTCCATCGTTATGAGATTCTCGTAGGTACAATTCATCATGTCACACATGACCAATTGGATGACATTTTCACCAAAGCTCTTACGCAAGGAATTTGACAAATTTCTAGGCAAGTAAGTAAGTTGGGCGTTTGATATCATCTTACATATGCACATATAGTTTTTGAGGTTGAAGCCGTCGGTGATAGATACAGAAAACGATTTGTTTATTGGTTTCCAACCACATTCCTATTATGATTTTAGGAACAAGTTTATAAAGTTGAAAATATTATTACACATGATGAATCTCTCATTTTATTTTTATCATAGTTATATATGTATAAAACCAATTGTCGCTAGGATCTAGCAGGAGGACATAGTCTGCCTTCTCCATGAAGTGGATAACTGGGGCGTACTAGAATCTTGACCTCTTTGAACACCGATCGATCCCAAACCCTTTCTCCTGTAATTTCGTTCCCTACAAGAAAACATTAACAACTTACCTAATCAGTTTTTTCTCTCTCAGGCACGAAGTTCGAGGAGCTAAAACAAGTTAACTGATTTTGAAAAAGCAGATCTCATCTACTTTTCTACACTCTTTTAGGAAAGTTTTTGTGTGTTTCCCCTTTTCTGACCACTTTCAAGGCAAATCCCGACCTCCTTTGCCTCTGGTTTCTTCCCCGGTGTCTTGTCCTCAGGTTACTAAGTCGGAGGAAACTCAGTTTGTTGCGTTCAAGAAGGTATGAATTCCGGTGTGCTTTTTCTCTGTAGTTTCACTGCTCCAAACTCGCTATCCTTATGGATAGTTGCAGTGTTGGTCTACAGTAGTTGTTACTTCGCAGGTGTGGGGTCTTGGTGCCTTTTTTTACTGCCCTAGTGCAGACTTTAAGCCTGGTGTTGATGCAGTTTGAGTGGAGCTCTCTCGTTAAAGCTCTCCTATGTTTTTACCTCAGGTTGAGGGTTTTTGTCTTCTTCATTGTCCCTGCAACTTGTTCCGGCCTTCTAGCTAACATGTGTTAGTAATAGCTCATATCTCAAGTCCTCAACATGGCGCTTCGGTTCTCAAGAGAAAAAAAAGCAAAATGGGTGGCTCCTCCTGGTGGAAACAGAACTAAGCGACGCTCGCCTCTTCGAATCCCAGAGAGTGACAACTCGGCTCTTATTTAGGAAAACAAGCTTACTCTCATAGGTAGAGTCACAAACGCTCAAATCCAATGTCCCAGAGCACTAGTGGAGTATATGATTCAGTACTGGAACCTGGAGAACAGAGTTACGGGCAGAGAGCTGGGTCCTGAACGCTTCTTCTTCAGGTTTGAGTCAGAAGCTGATATCCAACTGGTTCTAAAATGAGCCCCTTACCACTTCAAGAAGTGGATGTTCATCCTTCAGCGTTGGAAACTGATTGTCTCAGAGTTCTTTCCTGCTTTCATTCCCTTTTGGGTAAAGATTCATGATATCCCGATGCACCACTGCACGGATCTAACTCTGAAAACAATTAGAAAAGATCTAGGACCGATTATTGACAAGGACCTGTCAGAAGGAAGAATTAGAGTGAATATTAATGGTCTAGAGCCTTTGGAGATGAAGTAACAACAGTGCATCTTGAGTATGAGAAACTAGAGAAACACTGTTTCTTTTGCTTTTCTCTATCCCATGAAGAGAAAGCTTGTCCCCTGAAGACAAGTTCAGGAAGTAAGGAGGATAGACCCTCTGGAGTAAAACAGGATCGTGACTCCCATCTCATTGTAGAAGATAAGCGGAGGCATGAGGAAAAGAAGACTCATTGGCCGCATATAAGAGAGGAAGCCCCTCGTGGAGTATGTAGAGATTACAAAAGAGGGTATGGTGAAGGTGGGAGATCTGAGACACGAGAGAGTAACAACCACCTTTCTGATTACTCTAATCGTATCAGGGACTCTCATAGGTACATCAACACGAGGGAAAAGTCCAGCAAAGACAACCGCAGGTCTCCGCCTAGATCTACCAGGAGAGTCTCGGTGAGGTCTGAGTCTGACTCCCACTTCCAAAGGTCTCATCAGCCCTGCAGAACTTCATTCAACGAAGGAAATCATACTTTCTCCCACAATGCAGCTTATGTGCGGAGAAGTCATTGCTTATCCTCAACTAGGGATATGGTATCAGAGCTCCGGGTTGAGGAATAAGAGACAAGCAGAGGAATAAAAGACATGTTTGTCTATAAGGGAAAGAGAAAGGTCAGACTACAGAGAAGAACAAGCTAAGGAAAAAGAAAAGGTTAGATCTGAGTCAAGAGAGAAGAAAGGTTCATGTTGGAGATGTGGACAAAAGGGACATGTCAAGAAAGTGTGCTTCCTAAAGAACAAGAACAAGTCAAGGGAGAAGTCAGTGGAAAGATATGAAGAATCATCAGCGCAAAGTACTGTTTCTAGTGGGTTTGTGTTCAAGGTTTCAGAAGTTGGTGCTCGAGCAAGTAAAGAAAGTTCTAAAGAATGGATTTGTGACACAAGTTGTATTTCTCATATGAGCTCAAGAAAAGAATGGTTTGAAGACTTGGTAGTTTCAGAATCTGGAAATGTGCCGATGGCTAATGACACTACTTCACAGGTTCAAGGGATTGGAAGTGTGAGAATTTTGAATGAAGATAGAACAACAGTCTTGTTGACTAATGTCATGTATGTTCCAGGCATGTAAAAGAATCTCATATCCTTAGGAACACTTGAGAACAAGGATGCTGGTTTAAATCCAAGAATGGGATTTTAAAGATCTTTAAAGGGATGCATAACACTGATGAAGGCTGAAAGAGTTGATACACTATACATGCTTAAGGGGAAAGCAGTAACAACTTGTACAAGAATTGAACAGGGACCAAAAGAGGAGACAAAGATGGGGCACATCAAACTTGCTCACATAAGTCAAAAGAGTCTCAAGAGTCTGGTCAAGACAGGGTGTATCAGAAAACAGAAAATTGGTGAAATAAAACCTTCACACAAAAGCTAACTTCATAAACAAGCTAACCAACGTTTAACACCAAAATATCACAGTGGAGGATTCAGTCCATGAACTATCTCACTATCCATGAACTATCTCACTAGCCTATTGCAAGTTTGCAACTATCCAAGTAAGAATGAGAAAAGAATACTTACATTTATGCTAAGTTTGTTCTTCTCCTCCTTCTCTTGTAAGACCCATCCATAGATTGGGGAGAAGTCAAAGTCCTCCAAGGCTTTGACAACACTTGTCTCACCAAGATAGGTGGACCAATCATCCCAAAAAATTTGTTGGAATTGAGCTTTGTTGGTGAAGGTTGAATTGGTGAAAGATGCATAGAGTGTGGCAAGCTCTTCTTGAGAGATTTCCCTTTGTACAAAATTGGGATGTGATGTTGCTTGTAAGAAGGAGGAAACAACACAAGGGATCTAATATTTTGGGATGAATTTTTCTGATTTGATATTCTTCTTCGAAACATCAAAGAGTGGGATCTCCTTCAACACTTGTTTACCCACCATAAACACTAGAGCTTTCTCCAAGACAAAGATCTGAGCAGTTTGAGACGATGGAGCTAAGACATCAAAGTAGCAGCTTTTAATTCTTCTCCATCTTTTCATCATCGATTTGTGCATCAAAGGAAGTTGCAAGATCACGCAAGGAGTTTTGAGCCAAGTCCACCCAATGTTTGTATTTGACAGCTTCTGCTGGAATGTAGAGGTTTGAAGATATTCCCTCGATGAAAGATTCAAAAAAGCTGGAGTTCTTCGAGGGTTTCACCACCACTTTCTTCAAACTGACGGCTGGGGGTAAAAGAAAGTAGGAACAAAGAAGAGAAGCCATGATGAAAATTTGAACAAATTCTGAACAAATTCTAAATGTTTCTACTAGAATTACCCAAACAAAACCAAAAAAACAAATATTATACCGGAAAACGAGAAATAAAATTATATATTTAGAAAATATTAGTTATATTTAGTTATAATTTTTTAACCAAATATATCAAATTAACAAAAATGTCAATAATAATTTATATATCTAAAAATATTAGTTATATTTGTCAAAATTGTACAATTGTTTGCAAAATTTAACCAAATTTAACTAAAATCAAACAATTTTTTGTTTTTTTTTTTTAAAAAAAAAATTCTTACCGATCCGAACCCGATATCTACCCAAACCGAATAGTCATAAACCTTGAATGGATGATAAACTCTCGTACCTGAATTATTCCATCCGAAGCAAATCCGATCCGAAACCTAAAGCACAAGTATAGGGCATAACCAAATAAATTTGAGAAAATTTGTTAAATTTAATACATATGGTAGTTGAGAAAATGAAAATTGTTTTTGAGAAAATGAGTATAGTACATGTGCCCCACCTCTCGTCTATGTCCGCCAAGAGTATAAATTGAAATTTTTTTAAAAACTCATTTGACAAGAAATCATAAAGATTATAGTTGAATTCATTTCTAGAAACGATATACATAAATTTAAGTTTACGATTGATAACTTCAACTATCGTATTTTAAAAGTGTATAGACTATTGAAATGAAAATGATGCATACTAAGAAGTTGGAAATTTACATAAATTTATGGCTAATTTTATTACGAAGTTATAAATGATACAACAACATGATAATTAAAAAACATAACATAATAATTGTTTGACACAATTAGAGTTAGAGATAAAAGAATTGTTTGATATAATGAGTTCGAGACAAATTCTAACGAAAATCAATACTTATAATTTATAAAACACTAAAACCATACATTATCTATTTAGTTTTGTGATATTTATGATGTTATTGGGAGTTGTGACCATAGTTTTATAAAATATTTTTGAAATTTTTATTATCTAACTATCTTATTGAACTTTGTTAATTTTTATATTGGGCCGATTCGGATCGGCATAATTTATTATTTTATTGTATTTATTAATTTATCGAATTAATTTATAGACGTTTTACTGTATGGTGGTTGAGAGTTATAGAATGACTATTTTGTAAGGTGAAAAATTAACTGTGGGGGTTGTTGTTGGGAAACAATTCACGCATTAGAGTTAGACCATCAACAAATTTAAATAATTTCAATTGATGTTATAACATGTAAGTGAAAAATAAATTAATTCTAATGATGATAAAATGAAAAAAAAAACTTTTTATTCACTTGCAATTCACTTTTGGAACACAACTCAATAGTTAAAACAACAGTAGATTCTGGTTGAAGATGTTGGTTTTTTTTTTTTTTGACATCTTTGGATCGACAAAGCCCGATCCATAACCAATCCCTACTACGCGGGGTAACGTGACTTAGTGGAGTCGAACTCCGGTGGGGAAGGTGGAGTCAAATGGACTTAACTACTTGATTAAAAGCACATCCCCTCAAGATGTTAGTTCTAAATTTGTATATTTTAAAAATTTGTATAATATTTTTCTAAAAAATCGGTGAGATCAAAATGATATGAAATCATTTGTATCAATGCACTCTGCATATGCCAAAAATAAAAAGTAAAAAAAAAAAAAAATAGTACAGTTTATAGTTCGGTTTGTGCTAGCATTAAAATCTTAGATTCGTTAATAAGTTCGGTTTGAAACACCAATGAATCTAAGATCCCATATTAAATAAAGTTCCTAGTCTTCTCAATATATATATATATATATATATATATATTTTTTTTTTTTCCGTCAACCTAGTCTTCTCAATATAAAATGTAAGACTTGGTTTAATACATGTTAACCCAAATTCTCATAAAATATAAGACTTGAATAAATATGAACCCTTTTTTTTTATCTGCAACTTGATCATTCAACATAAACGAGAAATCCCAAGGAATTCTTCAATAGACAAATACACACTTTCTTGTTTTAGCTCTTGTCACCATTGTAAAAGAGAACAGTACCCTTTAATTTATGCAGAACAACAGAAACAAATTCCAAATACATTTTGTTTAGTAGCCAAAATAAAATAAATTGGTCTACAAGTGACGTACGACGGTTTATAAGTGAAATTAAACAATGAAAATTGTATTCCGCTGATTAACAACATGAATCAATATCATGAATAAATCTCTTTCATGCACTGAATTACGACTCATGGAAATACGTGAAAACTAAATTTGCTTGAGAAATTGTAAGTGTGATTTAATAGTAGCTTAAACAAAACCTAATTCGAAACATTTATCAAAAGATTTTTTTAAAACATTTATCGATTTTTTTATAAGTTTACATAAAAATGAAAATTAAATCGTGCGCAAAATGCACTAATTAAATAAAAATCTTCCATAACATAACGGCATCCTAATGAAAAGGACAACATGAAAGCGTTTTATTTCTTTCGCTATAAAATAATCTTGTTGGGGGGAGTCTTTGGTCTTTTCGTACTTCAACGTGTTCTTAACAAGACATATTATATACTATAAAGGAGAAAATTGAAGTTGGATCAATTCAGATTCATACAAGAAATTCATGAGTCAGAATAGCATCTTCTACATACAAACACGACAACACGTGTATATATACAAGTCTACTAAGAAACGTTGTTAATTTACTAAATCAATATTTTTCTTAGTCTGATTTGGAAGTCGACGTACGACATAACCCACTAACCTTATAAGTTTATGTTTCTCTACATATAAATACAAAAATTTATCAAACTTATAAAAGAGTTTCGACGACCAACAAAATGATCAAAAGAAAAGAAAACATATATACGTAGTCTGGTTAATAATGTTGATTGTTCTCTTGTTCTTTGCACCATCAACACATAATCTTCACTCGATGACCATCTAATCATAAATCTCTCAATACAAGTAAGTTTCGAATTATGAAAAACCTTTTCTTTCGTCTCTCGATTTGGATTTCTATTTCTTAGAAATTACTTTGAAAAGCTTTGTTTTGTTGGAAAAGAAATAGGAGAAGAGGTTGTTTGGGATCAAAAACAATAAGCTACTGTAGAGTGTAGATGACCCATAAAAGACAAAATAAATTTAAAATGTCCTCTAAATAAATCATGCCACAAGCAAAGTAACCAATTTCCTACCATATATACTCATCTTCATTTTGAGTTGATTCTTTTACTCAAGCTATGCTTCCGCATTAGTGAGCCTAATTATTTATTTTTCTTAATGTTGCCCACAATATAGTACTTTAAAATAAGCAAATCTCTTACCAAACTTAAAAAAAAAACTATGTAGACGTAAATAGTATTTAATTTGGGAAATAAATTAGTGTAAGGTCAGAATTCGGATGAATCCCAA